TGGGGTGATGTCAAGTCAAGAACAATGAGACCCAGGGATTTCCCTGGCTGTCCAGTGCTTAAGACTCCATGCTTCCCTGATGCGGGTTCGATCCCTAGTCAGGGAAGTAAGATCCAGGCAAGAACACTGGAGTGGGTTGCCATTTCCTCCTCTAGGGGATCTTCCCAACCCAGGGATCGAACCCAGGTCTCCTGCACTGCAGGCAGATTCTTTACCATCTGAGCCACAGAGAAGCCCAAAGTGAAAGTGTTAGTCACTCAGTTGTGTCCGACTGTGACCCCATGGACTGTAGCCTGCCAGGCTCTGCCATCCATGGAATTATCCTGCCAAGAATACTGGAGTGGGTATCCATTCCTTTCTCCAGGGGATCTTCCCGACCCAGGGATTGAACCTGGGTCTCCTGTATTGCAGGCAGATTCTTTACCAACTGAGCCACCAGAGAAGCCCTGCATGGCCAAAACATAAGTTAATTAAAAAAAAATAAAGAGCAGTGAGACCCAGACACCTGTGGAAGTCAGCCAGATTCTTCACCCACTGCTGGGTTCAGGGTGCTGCACTTCTCCTGCTTTTAATGCCTGGATCCTTGGGACGACCAGCCCTGCACCAAGTTCCCCATCACATGGCCACTCCACCCTGCATAAGCAGAGAAGCTGCCTCAATCCACCTCCTGGGTCATGCCTAGCAGCAGAAACTGTGCCCAGGGTCAGCAACTGATAGAGGATTTCTGCCTCACACCCGGGAGTTGTTTATCTTCCGCTGCCTGGAGGTGACCATGGCTGTACCTTCCTGAGAGCCCTGTGTGAAGTCATCAGCCTGATGATTTGTCCTTGTCTGTCACCACAAGTGGATTCTTAGAATTAAGAGGTAGCCTGAGGGGCTGGAGACTGAACTTGTTACACTGTGACTCAAAGAAATCTGTCTTCCCCTCTTGGGGAAGAAAAACTGGGAACTCACCTGGAACCCGACCTTGACTGTGACTCACCTCTTTCCCCAACATCAATGGCCAGGCTTCTCCTTCCCTATCCTCACCATTGGCCCATTTCTTGTTTTACGAAATCACATGGCATTACAGTTGGCAGGGACATTATTTTTCTTTATATGGTATTTTTCTTCTTGATTATAAAAAATGAAAAAGAAAATTTGGGAGCTAGGGAAAAAAAATATAGAGGAGGAAATAAAAATCACCCTAGTCCCATCCCTCAGGGAAAATATGAATTAATATGTTAATATTTCTATTTCCTTCCAGATTTTTCCAGGCCTATTTTTTTTTTTTAATTGTGGAGATCTTACTGCACTTACAGGGCTTTTCTTTTTCTTTCTCTCTCTTTTTTTTAGGCCATGCCGTGCAGTATGTGGGATCTTAGTTCTCCGGATTGAACCCATGTCCCCTGCATTGGGAGCACAGAGTCTTAACCATTAGACTGCCAGAGAAATCCCTACACTCACAGTTTTGTATCTCATTTTTAAGTTTTTGAATTATATATCACTGTCATATGAGAGCACAGCCCATCATAAGCCTCCAAAGAGCTGAGAGCCCTGACGATGAGGGTCCTTCCTGGACTGACATGGTTCTATGAGGGGACACGGTACCCAAGGGGAGGGAACACACTTCACACTGTGGTGCCCCCGTGTTTGGGGATAATGTAAGCTCTCAGCCCTGACCTCAAGCCTATGGCATCCTCAGCTGTGAGGACTAAAGGTCCCTGGAGGTTTCGCCTTTACTTAGCTCCTCCCTGGAAAGGAGTGGTGTCACGGCCCCTGCTGAGCTACAGGCAAGGAAAATAAATCATCAATCTTTGTGAAAGCACCCTGTAAATGAGAACTGCTATTCACTTAGGAGATTGTTTATTAAACCACTGATGCTGCTGACCGTGGCCTGGACTTGGGCTCTAGTTAATAAAGTACTAACTCATAATTCTGGAAAGCTGTGGGCAGCCAGAAGCCCTGCTGGCTGCACAGAAAGGCATCCCCATGGGCAAATGGAATAAACATCTCTCCCTCCTCAAGGCTGCTGAAAAATGAACCAGTACCTTGGATCTTCCAGCCCAGAGCAGATGGTCTGAAAAGCAGAAAAGAGGAAAAGGGAGGAACAAGTAGCAAAACTGAATTGGGAAGACAACCAATGGATCAAAGCAATCTATGGATTAAGTGCAATCCCCCTGTCAAAATTCAGATGGCATCTTTCAGAGATATAGGAAAAAATGCTCAAATTCATATGGAATCACAACAAACCCCAGTAGCCAAAGCAATCTTGAACAAGAGCAAAGCTGAAGGTATCACACTTCATGATTTCAATGTTACAAAGTTATGATTACCAAAACAGTATGGTTTTGACATAAAAATAGACACATAGATCAATGGAACAGAAAAGGGAGTCTGGAAATAAACTCAACATAACTTCCCAACAAAGATGCCAACTCTCTTTAATAAATAGTGTTGAGAAACCTGGAAATCCACATGCTAAAGAATGAAATTGGATCCTTATCTTATACCATAGACAAAAATCAACTCAAAATGAGTCAAAGACTTAAATGAAAGACCTCAAGTAGTAGAACTAACTCCTAAAGGAAATATTGGAAAAAACTCCTTGACATTGGTCTTGGCGATGATTTCTTGGATCTGACATCAAATATATAGGCAATGTTCCTTACAGCAAAAAAAATAAGTGTGACTATGCCAAACTAAAGCATTTCTGCTAAAAAGTAAGCTATGTAAAAAGTAAAAAGTTAAACTATAAAATGGGAGAAAATAATTGTAAACAATATATCTTATAAGGGGTTAATACCCAAAATATATATGGAACCCCTACAGTTGCAAAATAGCAAAAAAAAAAAAAAAAATACAGTTGACCTTTGAACTACGCAGGGATTAGGGATGCCAACCCCCAGTACAGTTGAGAATCTGCATGCTGCTATCTCTGCCTCTAAACAAAGAAACTGATAAATAACTCACTGAAGGGCAGGAAGCGAAAACAGTTTAAATCGAATCAGGACTCAAACCCTAGTCCTTTTGACTCCACATATTGTGATCTCTAACTGAACATAAACTTTTCTCACACTTAGTTGATTTAAAGATGAAATATAGGTACTATATTTATTGAAAACTATCTGTGTATAAGTGGATATACACTGTTTAAACCCATGTTGTTCAAGCATCAGCTGTAATCTGATTAAAAAATGGGCAGAGGACCTGAATAGATAGTTTTTCAAAGAAGACATACAAATGACCAACAGGTATATGAAAAAATGCTCAACATCTCTAAATATCAGGGAAATGCAAACTAAAACCACAATGAGGTATAATCTCACTCCTGTTAGAATGTTTATTATCAAAAAACAGGAGATAAATGTGGGTGAGGCAAAGAGGGAACCTTTGTACACTGTTGCTGGGAGTGTAAAATTGGTACAATGACTATGGAAAACTGTATGATGCTTTCTCAAAAAATTAAAAATAGAACTACCATATGTGGTACAATCCCACTCATGGGTATATAACCAAAGGAAATGAAATTACTATCTCAGAGAGTCATGTGCCATGAAAAGAACTCTCACATTCATCGCAACATTACTCACAATTGCCAAGATATGGGAACAACCTAAGTGTCTGTTGCCAGATGAATGGATCAAGATGTAAGATAGATACAGATATTCCATTGTTTGTGTATACAGAATGTATATATATATATAATGGAATATTATTCAGCCATAAAAAATAAGGAAAACCTGCCACTTACAGCAACATGGGTGAATCTTGAGGGTATTGTGCTAAGAGAATTAAGTCAGAGAGAGAAAGACAAACACTTCCTATATGGGACCACTTATATTTGAAATCTAAAAAAAGAGTCAAACTCATAGAACCAGAGAGTAGAAAAGTCGTTATCAGGGATTAGGAGGTGGGGGAAACAGGAAGATGTTGGTCAATGGTATAAATTTTCAGTTACAAGATGAATAAGTTGGTGAACTTATGAACAGTCTGGTGACTGTAGTTAATAATACAGTATTATATATTTGAAATTTGCTTTGAGAATAGATCTTAAATATTAAGATCTTACCCCCTCCCTCAAAGTTAACTATTCAAGGTGATAGATGTATTATTAACTTGATTATGATAATCCTTTCACAATGTATGCATATATCAAATCATCACATTATAGAGTTTAAACATAATTTTATTTGTCAATTATTTCTCAGTAAAGCTGGGGCAGAGAAAAAAAGAAAAGAAATTGGAAAGCATCCTTGAGCTGCCTCCCTCTTGCTATGTACTCTTAGGAGGGCTTCTTAACCTCTCTGTGGCTCAGTGAGTCCACCAATATGATGGGAATCTCCCCTCCCCTCTCCTGGTACTCACAAAACAGGAAGAAGACTCTTGGATTCCAAGGGTAAGACATGCCTGTGGTTAAGGCTCACCCACAGCTAGTTTCCCTACTGTCCACTCTCCATTCAGCAGCAAGTAAAATGTGAATCAGATCACATCACTTCCTAGCATAAAACTCTCCACAGGCTCCCACTGCCTTTAAAAAACTTTCACAGCCTTATGTGATCTGCCCCGGCCAGTCCTTCCAGCCTCACCTTCTACCCACTTCCCATCACTCACCTTCAGCCAAGCAGCCTCCACACTGTGCACAAACCCACCCAGCTCCCTTCTGCCTCAGCGGTCCTCTGCCTGGACCTCTGTTTCCCCTGCGCCTCAGCAGGATGGCTCTTTCCATCAGCATCCTCCCCACCTCCACCCCAGGCACTCTGCCATCGGCCTGTTTTGTTCTCTTGTTTTCTGGTCTACCTGTCCAGTGCCTGTCTCCCCAGCCCAATAGACACATGAGGGATTATCTGTTTTGTTCTCTTGTTTTCTGGTCTACCTGTCCAGTGCCTGGCTCCCCAGCCCAACAGACACATGAGGGATTATCCGCCCCACTCTCCGCTGCACTCCCAGTTTGCAAGCCAGGGCGCACACACAGCGGGTGCCCAGCATACACGTGACTGATAAATGTGCCAGAGGCCCACCTGGTTCCGGAAGATCAAGGCCACCACGCCACCAATGAGCTCAATTATGAGGCAAATCCCAAGGATGTACATGAACTGAAAAACAAAGTTCCGTGAGTCACCGAGAGTGGAAGGGGAAGCGCCGTCTACTCCAAGGTCAAGCACAGTAAGAAAAATCCTCTTTGTCAGAGTTCTTAAAGGCTCCTGGGCCTTTCACCCCTTCCTCCTGTGAGGACACAGGATGTGGACAGACATTCCCGGGAAAGCCCGTCGCTGGAGCCTGTGATCAGGAAGAGTGACTCAGCTGTCCCAGCCAGACTGTTATCGAGGTTTGTCCCAGGAGTCCTCAGTGGGGTCTGGATGAAAAAACACAATCCCCTCCCCCAACCCCACACCTTGAGCAGCCTCTGGTTCCTCTCTGGCTGACAACAGAGGGGACAGGCCTGTCTTGACAGGCAGGTTAGAGAAGCATTTCCAGCTCTTCCAGCAAAGCCCCTGCAAAGTGACTTCCCAGACCCCAAGGGCAGTTGAGGGGATGTCTCAGGCTGAGTGGACACACCGCCCTTTAGCACAGAAACAAGCATTGTCCAAACTAATGTCAACAACTTCCAGCCTCAGGGAGCATCACTGAGACTATGCTCATAGGGGCTTTTAGGGGCTTCCCGGGTGAGGGGAACAATGAGGTCAAACACACATGTGGGTACAGAGTAAATAGATCTCTTATCCAGCACCCCCTGTGTTGAGAAGCCATCCCTCACCCCACAGTAAGGGGGGCAGGGAGGCTGACCCTACCCCTGACCCCAGAGCAGGCACTTGGCCAAGCAGTCCCATCAAAGTCCTAGGATCTTGGCCAGAGTTACCAGGAAAGACTCCCCAGGACCCTGAGCTATAAGGACTGCTGGCCTAAGGCTGCTGGTGACCATCACAAAGAGAACCTGAGGACAACACCTGGCATCCAGCTGGGAGGTGGCAAGAGAGAGAGCCCAAGGGCGTCCGCTAAACCCCTGGACCTAGGGTGGGCTTGCTGGTTACATGAGCTAATGACTCACCACCAACAACTTTTCTTGGTTTTGCTTGCTCCCATCTGAGCATACCTTCTCCCACTTCCAACAGACAGTCCAGACCAACATGGGGTTTAAGAAGAACAGTCTTTGAATCAGCCTTTCTAAGCAGAAGTGGAGGAGGATGAACCCTCTTGGGCCAATATGGACAGGCTGACCCATGAAACCCTCCAGAAGAGCTGGTTTGAGGCAAGGACTGATTAGCTGGGCTGCCCGAGGGCCCAGGGGTGGTCTCCCAGCTCTCCCAGGGACTCCAAGGATCACAGCCCCCTCCACCAGCTGATGGGTGCCTGGGGCTGACTCACCGCTTGAAGGAGACACAGGTTGTCACGGAGGGAAGCCAGGACGCCGATGAAGGACACGATGAACATGACGACCCCCAGGAGGATGAGGATGATGGCCGGGGCCAGAAAGGCACTTTCCAGGGTTTTGTATTTCTGCCTCTCGACCTCTGCATAGATCCCCACAGACAGGACCAGGCCCCCGATCAGCTGCAGCAAGAAAAAAAGGAGTGAGAGAGGAGAAGGACTGCAGTCGCTTGATTCTCCTACGAAGGATTCAAGGGAGGGTTCTGGTACCTGCCGTTGGAGGGGTCATCCCAGGTCACCGGATGTGAGGCAACCTGTTATGGGCTGAACTGTGTTCCCCAAATTCACAAGCTGAAGTCCTAACCTCCAGAACCTCAGAATGGGACTGTACTTGGAAACTGAGGCTTAAAAGAGATAATGAAGTTAAAATGAGGTCTCATGACTAGGGTTGAATCCACTATGAATGCTGTCCTTCTAAGAGGAGATTAGGACACAGAGAGAAGGCCATGTGAAGACACACAGAGAAGACAGCCACTGGCAAAGCCGAAGAGGGGCCTCAGAGAAAACCAACTCTGCCCACACCGTCACCTTGGACACCCAGCCTCCAGAACTGAGAGACAGTAAATCCCTGTTGCTTAAGCCGCCCAGTCTGTGGTACTCTGTTATGGCAGTCCTAGTAAATTAATACAGACCCTATTTGGAAATGCTGCTTTGGTGAGAAGTACTGGTGAGTCAAGGGAAATGCCACTGGCTAGAGGATCAGAGAACCTGGGCCGCAGTCCCAGCTCTGCCACTTGCTAACCCTGGGCTTTGGACAAGCATTGGACCACATGAGTCTGTGTGCTCATCTGAAAAATGGGTATGAAGACTATCATTTCTTCCCTGTTCACCCAAGGGTTTTTGCAAGGCTTTAGTGAGATAAGAACAGTGGAAACACTACGAACCTGAAAGCATGGGGCCCTGGGGTGTGTTATTACACAGGCAGAACACCAAAGGAAACTTCAGGCCTGCTCAGGGGGATGGGCATTGTACTCAGCACCATACACATGGGATTTATCTTCAGAATGATCATCAGGAAGACTGAAAGTTGGAACAAGAGGGATTTTGAAGAGATTTTTAAGTCAAATTCCTCATCATCAATTTTCCTAACAGTGGGAAGGTGACCACTGTGACTCCCCATCAGGAAAAATGAGGCAAAAAAGTTCTTGGAGGACCCCTTCCTGCTCTCAGCCGGAAAAGTCTCATACTAAATCTTCAGGGACCCCTATCAGTGGACGTCACCCCGAACCCTCAGACATGTCTGAGACTGCATTGCCCCATCACCCTGGGATTCACAATAGTGTTCTAACTGGCCCCCTTCAGCCTGTTCTTCCTACCAGAGTGGCCAAGCAAAATTTAATCAGGACAAGCTGGTTCTCTGTGCCCTGGGAGTAAAAGCCACAACCCTAATCACAGTCCACACAGCCTGTCTGAGCTCACTTCTCACTCCCCTCACTTCCTCACTCTGCTTTAACTGCACTGGGCCCCTCACTGCCGGTCAGACACATGGAGTGTGCCAGCTCAGGGCCTTTGCACAGGCTGTTCCCACTGCCTTGAATGCTCTTTCTCCTGATCTCCAAATGGCACTATGGATCCCTTCCTCACCTCCTTCTCATCTTTGCTCACTTCTCACCTGCTCAGTGAGGCCTTTGGGGTCATCTTGTTTAAACACAGAAAATTCTTTCCCTGAAACTCTCAATCCCAATTTCCTGATTTATTTTTCCTTTGCACTGACAAGTATTAAACATACTACATTTTTTGTTTTCTTTTTTAACTGTTTGTCTTCCCCACAAGGACATAAGCTCCATGCTAGGAGGCATTTTTAGACTGTTTAGGGCAGCCCCAGCACCAGAACAGCCTTGACATTTAGGAAGCATAACAGGCATTTACAATCAATGTCTGTTGAACAGATGCAAGCCAGGCTTCTCAATAGATCCCCGATTGGGTTTGAGTTCAACGCTGTCTACCCAGCATGCCGCCTGTCCAATGATTCTGGCATTCCAGGGCACATATTCCCAAGAGCAGATACACTGGACCTCACCACAGAGCAGGAGGCAGTGTGGGAGAGGAGTCAGAAGCCATGGTGCTGTCAGTGAAGGTCTGAGTAAAGGAAATGAGGGATAATACAGACAAGATATGGGCAAGATATGCCGTGAGCACAGCTACCCTAGAGTCAACATCCTGAACACCAAGGAGGTGGTGGCTCCTCCAGTTACTCCTGGTCTACCTCCACCCTGAAATGGCTGTTATACAATGTGCCCTCAAAGTAGATCTCAACGGCCTTCTAAAGAGCGCCAAGACTGTTCTGGGTAAAGGGAAGTCCCTGCTTCCCCTAAGCTCTGCAAGTGGCAGGGATGCCAAAAGTCAAACAGACCAAGCTTACTTGGAAACGTCGGGTAACAGAGGGTTACCGGTAAGCCATCTCCTCCAGTCCAGGGCTCTGCTGTATGTCACTGCTAAGTGCCATTCCCCTTAGTTTGAAAGGGTAATCTGAGATTACTGATACCTACTCCCCAGGTCTAAAAGGAATGCCTTCCCAGCACACACAGGCCAAGAGGTGCTAAAGGCATTGACGCACTTGGCTGTGAACTGCTTATTAACAAGTTGGCCATGTTGGGAAAACCATGATTGAAATGATGTCATCCAAATCACTCAGTTGGGTAAATTTTTAAATTTAAAAAGTTAGGACACACACACACAAGGCCCTCTATAGGAAAATGAGGACCACAAGAAATAAAATCTACTTTTGATAGAAAAATATTAACCAAAGTTATTGGTTTGGTCAGTTCATGTTCCAAAACCCAGGACATGGTGAAATCATTGTTCAAGGCCAGCCTAAGCCCTGCGGGTTCTCTGAGAACAAGGGCAAGCAGTTTTAGAGAGCCAAGTCCTCCCCTTCCTTATTAGTGCACTTAACAAGGAATTACTCAACTCTAGCCCTGAACCAGACACAGAACCCAGAGATCCTTCAGCCCTAGAGCCAGGGTTGATGGTTAAAGAAGAACCCCACATCATCAAAGCCCAGGCAGGGTGAGGAATCAAAATGCAAGGATGCGGTGTGCTTCAGGCAACAGAAGTGGCATTTTACCCTCTATCTTGGTGAAAACTGTAATTAGCATGTTGTCACTGAACCAACAAGATAACACTTTAATATTTTCAAGATTGATTCCACATACTTTCAAGACTTCTGTGTTTCAGTTTTTTTTGTTTGTTTGTTTAGATAAAAAAGCTCTTCTTGGGCAGGATGGACACAGAACCTGACATCTAACCACCATCCTAGGCTCTCCATGCCCCCCTCCTTCCCATCTGATGCTATGCTTCTGGGTTAAGGTACACTGCTTTGGAAACCATCCCCCAAACACCAAACTGTTGTAGGCCTGCATTCTGAGCAGAATTGACCCCAGCTCTCTTCGTAAAGGCAGTCAGTGGCTTCTTCTATTTTTATAAGCTCCCCAGAGCCCCGGGACCCACTCCAGAACAGCCTTCCTGGCAGGAGACAAAACTTTCTTTGGTCTGATCTCCCTCCTGTTACAAAAGATCACATTTTCCTTGCGAGTCAGGCTTGCAGCATTTCCAGACCACTAAAGCCATAGAAAGCTACTGCAGCAAATGCAGACCCAAACCTCTGGACTCCTGCACCACTGTGTACTGAGCCATCACAGGCTCATCTCTCCTGGTCCAGCCAGGGGTGCTGCCACCTCAGTCCTTCCAGAAGCCACCGGGTAGCCCCTGAAGTCGCGCCACACACAGCACAAGCAGATCTAGGCTCCTTATTCAAGGGTTCCAGGAGCACCAGGCATGGGGAGAGGCTGACATACCCTTCCCAGGAACTTCTTGATTTCCAAATGATATTTACATCTCTGAGAACAGCAGTTTATGTTTCCCTGTGAGTATAAAATTAACTGTCAATGCTAGTGTGCAACCCCATCCCCTTTCTCTGCTAATTATAGTCTCTCTTTGGGCAGCCAGCCACTCAGCTCCAGCACAGGAAGCAAATGGCCCATTCGTCAAGCAGGACAGCTTCAGCTAAACTTGGCTGGGGGTGAGGGGCACACGGCCATGCCCATTTGGGACCAGAGAAGGAAAGAACATGCTGCTGGCAGCCCATGGGCCAGGCCCAGAGCCCCAGATTTTGCCACAAGCCACGTGGCATCTTCAATAGACTGCCTGGGAGCCTGTTGCCCACTGTGAACCAGGCCTGAAGTCCCCTCTGAGCCCTGCAGCCTGGGAACCATCTTCCTCCTCTGCAAGCTGAGGCCCAGCTTCATGCTGCTACTGGCAAGCATGTGAGGCATTCCAACACCTGCACTGCCTCCTCCTTTAGGAAGCATCTGGTTCCGGCTGGCTCACCCCCAGCTGGGGCAGGTCTGCACTCAGAGGGGACCCACAAGGCTTATTTTTACCCCCAAAGGCACATGCCAGGCACCTATTGTGTCCCAGACCCTGAGGGTCACAAGGGGTCACAAGACTATACATGGGCTAAGTCTGGGGGAAGACAGGTTGAAAGTCTTGAAATGATCTCTATGGCCTGATGGATGGGATTCAGGGATCTCTGAAGTGGGGATGGAGAAAAAAGTCAACCTTTACTATCATTATCCTTCAACTGAAATGTTCCTGGCACACCAAAAAAGAGGAAGAACCTCAGGTCTAGGGAAGGCATGCTGAATCTCTCCCATGGGGAAGACTCTGGGAATTTGAACAAAACTGAGGGGGTGAAAGGAAATGTCAGAAAATCAGGATGGGCTTCCTGGAGGAGCCAGTGTTTTCCTGAAGTCTCCAATAACTGCTCCACATTGGAATCACCTAAGGAGCGCTCAAAGCCTGCAGGGCTCTATATGGCTCAAACAAAGCACTTTTCTGAGGTTTGAGCTTAAAAGGATAAACTCCAAGGCCTGAGAGAAATTTTAAATAAGGTCGGGCTAGCAGGGCCCTTGCATCCAGCCAGGAAGCCCTGGACCTCACACCCACCAGCCCTTTAGTCCCAGACTGATCCTGCCTGGCCCAGAGCTGAGCCCACCCTGCAGGAGTGTGCTCCTGCTCAGCACACTCTACCAGCTTCTCTCCTGCACAGATTGGGGCTGGATGGAGCAGCAGAGGTAAGATAAGAGATTGGAGTTGGCATTCTGGGCCTTCATTTATTAGCT